ATAAATCATTAATGCACCTGATCTCTGGAAATTCTGGGCCTGTTAGTCATTCTTATGGCACTGAGGATCCGGGATCTGCAAGTCAGCAGGATAGCGAGCAAGACATTGTGAGCCCTGAAAATGAGCAGTCTGTACCTGAAGGCCACATTCCTGAAAGGCAGTTTACTTAGGAAGCAAGGTCAGAAACATATTGGAGTTCAGAGGAGGAAACTGAAAGTATAGGTGAACAGACTAATGAGAAGTTAGATAGGAGATTTACATTCCGCCAACATAGAGCTTCTCAGAATAGTTTTCAAAGGTTGAGACTCAAATTAGCCAAGAAGTCATTATCAGGTCATCCAGTCCATCCTCCTGCCACTCCAGAGCTCATAATCTAAACACTCCCAAAAAAAGATGTCCATCCAGCCTCTGTTTAAAAACCTTCGGAGAAGAACATTCCACCATGTTCCCAGGCAGCATATTCCACTACTGAACTGCTCTTACTGTCAGGAAGTATTTCCTAATATGTAGGTGGAATCACTTTTCCTGCAATTTAAACCCATTACTCAGTATTCCAGTCTCTTGAGCAGCAGAAATGATTATTCATTCTGCTATTTTTGCATTTGGTACCATTTTTACAAACAACTAATGCCACGGAAAATATGTACTTTGTTAACAGAGGTATAATTGTATGTGAAAAGGTATCATAGGGCTAAATGGTAGAGAAATAAGGTTATTTTAATTGTAAAGTGCCATGCACATTGATTGTGCTATATAAATAAACAGTAGTGATGGTGGTGATGATAAAAAAGAGAAACATTTCAATATTATTTCACATCGTTTTATTTATTCAATGAAATAATTTAAGTAACTGAAAGAATGTTATCAATCTTTGCTAAGACTTTTTATGTTTCAGTTCTGGCAGTAATCTTTTCTCATCTTGAAAAATCTATGCAGATTTTCCTTTGGGGCATCATGAATTGACACCAGGCCATTACCAGAAATTGATAGGATAAAGACTGGCTATGATTGTTAGGGAATTACATAGCCTAAGGAGAAGAGCATTGGAATGAGATCATTTTAAGACAGGGAAGGGAGGTCACCTTCCCACACTGTCCTTTCAAAACATAGCAACATTACTATGGTTTCTGTATATCTTATAATAAAAATATATTTGAGTTAGATTCCAGACTATGACATAATACTTAGCATGTATGTATGTATAAATGGGGGTGGGATAGAGTGCACTGGAAAATATATGTAGTTCAGTTCAGGATTTTATAGTTTGACTGATACTAATTTTTGCCTTTTAGCACCTGATAGCAACATTTTGTCAAAAAATAAAATAAAATAAACCAAGCTTCCTGTAAAACTGATCAAAACTAGCAGTTTACAATCAGAGAGAGACACATACACACACACATTCCAAAGTTTTCAAATTACACCTGAATTTACACAAAAATATTAGGGATTATTACTACAAGTTCATAAATATGACTTCTATAAGTGAAAGGCAGGGGAAGTGGGAAGATACAGATAGAGATATATGACATGTCTGGGATTACATGATGCAGTTGTTGATTCAGGTCTTTAACCTTACTGAACTTTTGTTCTTGGTTTCATTAGCTGTTCAGTGTCACATAGCATAATCAACAGAGAGATAACACAATTTAAATAATGGTATAGATTTATGTAGCCTAAATTCAGCATTTAACCTACCATGGAATTAATGCTATAAGAACATGGTACTACTTTTTTGACAGCAGAACAGGAATCATATCCCTAACATACTTCCCCCACTAGGACAAAAGAAAATAAACAGCTTAGAAATACACAGTTGGTGGAAAATCTCAGTGAGTTCATCTGTTCACCACGTATGGAAAACATTCCCATTAATTCACAGTGAGTACACATCCCATCACCCTTCTCCACTTCTCTCTATATAAAAATAATAGCACTCAACACTCATGTGTCTCAGTTGGACACGGCCCTCAGAATGCTCCTTCTGCCAACCATAGACTCATAGAACCCATCCTCTTTCCCTTTGCTAATATGAACAGGGAAAGTGTGATGGTTCCAGTGTCCCATCTGGACAGTGGATTGGGCTAAACCATACACAGATCCACTGTTCAGACTGCCCTCTGTTTGTCGTGGGCATGACCAGCCTTCCATTCAGGGTGAGTCTGATTTTGTTGTTGTTGCAAATGTGGAAAAGCATGAAAACAAAATTACCATGAATTCTAAGCATGCCGTCTTCATATATGTTTCTGAACCGGCAGTGATTTTAGCTAGGACTACAGTTAGAGAGATCCATGCCCAGTGAACATCCACTAAATCACATTAGCCAGGACAAAGAAACAATCTCCCCAGATTGAAGGCTACAACACAGAGTTTTATTATGATTGGCCAAAAAGGATGCAAGTACAAGCAATTTGCTTCAAAGGTACAAGCATAAACTCACAGAGAAATACATGACAAAATATACAATTCTGATAGCTCTTCAGGCTTCGCTCTTCTGATTGGCTGGAAAAGAGGCTGGCTTGGCTGCTCCTGGATTGGCTGGGGGTTCCCTTGATGCCACAGCCTGTCAAGGAGGAGATTCCCATTGCAGAAAGATGGCCGGTGGTTGGTCGGTTCAAAGAACCATTCTGTTGCAGATGTCCCTTGGGAGGGCACAGTCAATGAGGAAATAATGGTTTAGATATGCTGATGACTCTCTGAATAACTCAAGTGTCCAATTCCATATGAGACAAAGGTGCAAAACTCAAAAGACAAAGGTGGTGATTTTAATCAATCAAGGACTTGGCTGCCAGCATACAGAGTTAATGAATTAATTTTTACTCTTCTTCAGGAGCTGCAGGCTCTCAGCCTCAAGTTAAATGGCCAAACATCCTTACGTTATTCTGTTGACAAAGGAAATCATCTATCTCCATATACACACAAAGAATTTGATAGCTATCTGGCTTGGGAAATGGCTAGAGGGATCCTGGCCACCATCTCCTTTCCCAATGTAAAGTGGGAGCATTAAGAGGGGGCTGCCTTCTAGATACATTTCGATACATTTCATTTGATACAGTTTATACAGTTTATAATTTTAGGAGTTGACACAGTACATTAAATATACAAGTTATACAAAAACCATCAAATTGATACATTTTATTAAAAGCTTAGGTTCAGTAGAGTTTGTAGGATACAACTGCTGTTAGTCACATTCCAGAGTCTCTAGCTCTTTAGCATTTTGCAACACCGGGTCTGCAGAAAAGTTTTTAACAAAAAAGAAAAAAAAAACATTATTTGCTTGAAGTCTCTTGATGTCTATAAATCTTGGGGGGGGGGGGGTAATCATGGCTTGACAACAAAAGCATGGTGCATACAGATGCGTTATGAGTTTTCTAAATTGGAATGCATAATCCACTTTTTACATCTAAAAGAGAAGTACATTAATACCCTTTCAGGCTAAATGCAATGCATTTCCTGTGTTACAGAAATAAGATATTTGTGGTATCTGGGAGCTTAACAATTATAGATTCTATCTAACCTTAAATGCTCTTTTCTCTGTAGCTGTATTGTGTATCCCAGAAAACAAGGAACACATTATTTATTCCTGTGTTGTGTTTTATACTATAAAGCAACTGTATTTTTTATACTGGTTCCTCTTGTATTTGTAGCATTTAACCTTAGGTTTTTCTTTCTTGCATCTTTGATCTGTGAAATAAAGTTATTTTATATCTAGAGAAAGGCACTAGATACCTATGGGGATCCTTGTGTCCTCCAGCAGCAGATACTGGAAGTAATATAGCAGTCAGTTATTGATAGTAATTTGGTAATTACTATTGCATTATCGTAATTTTTGGTTTGTTGTGGTTCTTTTTATGTATCCATTTATTCAAGTGATGTTGCCGACTGATAATCATAAGAGCATAAATTGAGAATCATATCTCTATCACAGATTATCCTAAGTAGAATCATGGTAGGAAGAAACATGTGTGATCACAGATGTATGTATGAAGATTTGCTGTGTATGTATTTCATTGGGAATTTAATGTGAAATGGTACTTTCCAACTAGTCAATACAGAGTGAAATAAAGACATGTGCACACTGGTATTTATGTTTTCTTCCTAAATTGTCATGTGAAGCCAACTACCAAATATGGAAAGTTTGGATGAGGGCAAGTACTGTGAACTATAAATTGGACTCCAGATTCAGCCCTGAAGGACTATTATGCTATCTGTCTTTAGCTTTCATCCAGTAGCTCAAATTATCTGTGCCTTCCATACAGCAGGGAATATAGAAATGGTGGTTTCAGGGTGAGGTTGGAGAGTATATTGTACAACAGTTCTCATAGGGACTGCCATCCCAATTTGACAAAGATAGATGGGCACATGCACAGTTACTCAAGAATAATGCTTTATATGAACTTAAGCTGCCCTTGTTTCATTTCTGTACCATGGGCATCCAATCCAGTATTTTAGGGTGAATCTACACTAATCCCATAACACAGGCCCTGGGATGGTTTGCACAGCTACACACACAGATGCCAGGAGCTGCGGAGATGGGAGGGAGTCCTGCAATATTTCTTGACTATGTAAGAACAACATATTTATGGGAAATTTTCTGGTTTAGCTAATGAATGGATTAGATGCCAAAGATTGTCTATGGGTTAAAAACATAATCTAGCAGGAATTATTCTTCTGTTGAATCTTCTATGTCTCACTAAGTAGTACGGTATTTATAGTAGAATAAATTCCACTTGTACATGCTTCTTAAGAGAAGATGAAGTTGAAACTGACTTGTCATCAGTAAGCAACAACAAAAACCACCAAACTATAATTTACTATAATTTACTATTTTGCTCTTGGAAGTTGTCATGAGAAATCTCTTTCATATGCCATTATATACATGGATACAACATTGTTTCACTTTCTCATCTTTATTTTTGGTTCAATTTATCAGACTTAAATAATATATCAGACTCAGTAGCATTTTGGGTTTCAGTGACCTTCTTCTTTCATTTTGACAGAATCTGTATCAGAACAGGTTCCTGGGCCTGGCTGCTATGGCATCTCCATCTAGGAATTCACAGAATCGGCGCCGATGTAAAGAACCGCTGAGGTACAGCTACAACCCAGACCACTTCCACAACATGGATATTGGGAATGGCTCCCATGAGACGGTTACTATTCCACGTTCAACCAGTGATACAGACTTGGTCACTTCAGACAGCCGATCTACACTCATGGTCAGCAGCTCCTATTATTCCATAGGACATTCACAAGATCTGGTGATTTATTGGGATATAAAAGAAGAAGTAGATGCAGGGGACTGGATTGGCATGTATCTCATTGGTAAGTTTACTCTACTCTTGGAATTTTTACTTAATATTTCAAATTTAAAATACAGCCAAAGCAAATATTCAGAACTTGTGATCTACTAATCCAAAACACATCAGCCATCACCTTAATTTGTCCCCCATCTTGCACTCCTGATGAAAAAAATCAGCAACAGGAAATTTATCAAACAACAGCATTAGGAATAATATGAGGCTTATCAAATGCTTGCTAGTTTGCCTTCGGTTTAGAGAAGTGAATACCTTACACTAATATACAAGTTTAAAAGTATGTGTGCATCTCAGGGACCTTTCAAACAGTAGTTATAATACAGGAAAAAATAGGATTAAAAAACAGGTTAAAAAGGAGGTGGTCAAATGACTTTTGTGCTAAATGCACACTCAATCGCAGCAACTGGTGGAAAACCCATTTCAAAAAGATCCTCCTTTATCCCAGTTCTGGGTGAAAAAGGCGGGTTTTCCCGTGATTGTGTGGCCTTGCAGTCATGTAAAATTAGGGATTTCCCTCTTTTCCCCCCATGGAGAGTGCTTTTAACCCATGCTGGTTTTAAAAAAACCCAAACAGCAAATCAGCTGATTGGGCTCCCATGGAAACACAGCTGATTTCCAACTGGTTTAAAGAGAGGAGAAGCGGAGAGCCATTAGAGGTCTCTGAAAGTATTTATTTTAAACTTTGAAATATTAAATAGATTGGGAAAAGAGGGAAATCCAGCGGATTAAAAAAAATCCCGCTGTTATGCACTGATGTTTATATGCCCCCCAATCTTTATGTTTTTACATTGAGATATTCACATGCAAGTATATGAGGATTAGCACATAATTAAGTGATTTAAAAAAACTTTTGGCCGATGTCCCCCGTCTGCCCTCCATTTTATTCTGAGACACAGAAAGGCTGTGAGGATGGTAAGGGAAGAAAGCCCAGGACTGGCAGGTCTGTGTGGGGATCTGCTCTGAAGTCCTGAGTTCTTTTATCCCCCCTTTAAAATCCGCATTTTGGCACTGTCTGGAACCTCCCACACTGAATTAAAAGAGACTTAATAGGCATCTACACTGTAGGATTAATCAGTTTGACACCACTTTAACTGCCATGGTTCAATGTTATGGAATCATAGGAGTTGTAGTTTCACAAAGTCTTTATCTTTCTCTGGTAAAGAAATCTGGTGACTCCCCAAATTACAATTCCCAGGATTCCACAGCATTAAGCTATGGTAGTTTGTGGTGTCAAACAGCATTAATTCAACAGTGTAGACATATTTTTGCTCACACATGCAAAAACCTGATTTTCCAGATCAGGAAATTTTAGTGCTCCTACAGCCCCATTCAAGCTATCTGCAGTTTCCTCATGCTGTAGCCCTTGGCGGTGTGAAAAACAGGACACCAATTGCTGACGAGCTGGCTTATCTATTTTCTGCATCAAGCCCTGCAGTGCATTTCTTTTTAAAGTTTTTATTTCTTTTAATTTAGTTTTATCTCAAACTCTTGTTTTGATTCTTCTGCATATACGGAAGACTATGCAGAATAGGTATCTGAAGCTACTATGTAATTTAGGCCCCATCTACACTGCCATATAATGCAGGATCAGAATACAGTTTAATTGCATTGAACTGGATTATATTGCAGTGTAGACTCATATAAACCAGTTCAATGGGGTTAAACTGCTTTCTGAAACTGCATTATATGGCAGTGTAGATGTCCCCTTAAAGAGAAACACACTCTGTGGCATTCCTTCTGCACAGCTTTTTAAAGCATTTGGGGCTTGCAATTAGGTGTCTTAGTGTAAATCTAATCTACTATCCACCTCATGCTTCCCCTCTGAGTTGAATTACATTGATGGCAAGACTGAAAAGTCCAACAAAGAAGCATCCATTAGAGCAGGGGTTCTCAAACTAAGGCCCGGGGGCTGGATACGGCGCTCCAAGGTAATTTACCTGGCCCTCACTCAGGGTCAACCTAAGTCTGAAATGACTTGAAAGCACACAAGAACAACAATCCTATCTCATCAGCCAAAAGCAGACCCACACTTCCCATTGAAATATTAATAAGTTTATATTTGTTAAGATTGTTCTTTGTTTTAATTATTGTGTTGTTTTGTAGTGTTTTTTGCACTACAAAAAAAGATATGTGCAGTGTCCATAGGAATTTATTCATTTTTTTCTGAATTATAACCCGGCCCTCCAACAGTTTGAGGGACTGTGACCTGGCCCTCTGTTTAAAAAGTTTGCATTAGAGCATTTTTTTCCTTTCATTTGGGCATAGGTATACCTTGCCTTCATACAGTAGTCTCCTATGACAAATGGTATACCTTTCTTTGAAGATGAGTATTCATTATATAGCACTACAGAAAGGGTGTCTTAGATAGATCTATACTACCATATAATGCAGTTAGAATTCCCATTATATGGTCAATGTAGACCCGTATAATGTAGTTTGGCAGCATTGAACTGCATTATGAGTCTACTCTGACTATATAATAAAGATTCAAGTTGCATAATATGACAGCGTAGATCCAGCTTCAGTCAAAGTAGATAATTCTTTTTGAGGTGGTACCCCTAAAATAGTTGATCTAATCCAATCTATAGTGTGAAGTCCTACTCTGCCTGGATATCACGAATTCAACATTTGAGGATGTCAATTTTTTGTTAATGTCACTAGAACCATCAGTGACCATGATGACTAAGCCATTCTGGGAACTAATAAAAAATAATGTTTTCCAGCTCTGCACCAAGTAACTTAACTTAAGTTACTTGATTTCAAAGCCCTAATACAGAGAGTGTGTCTACACCAGGAAAAATACCCTGGAGAGATCTTGGAAGCACCTCAAGCTGTTTTGATATCCCGATGGTCAGCCTGGCAGATAGCTTATCAGCACCAGTTCTCTTTCCTCTTGGTGGCTGCTATTGCTGTTGTCTCACCAGCCAAAAGTAGCTCCCTGGCAGAGCTTTACTGGCAAAGTTTCTTCTGGGAAGATCACAACAGAGCATCACAACAGAGCATCTGGATGCTCTGTTGTGATCTCCCCAGAAGAAGAGATCACAACAGAAATCGCCAATGAGACTGCCAGGGAGCAACTTCCAACTGGTGAAATGGAGCAGCGGGACTTTTTGACACGTGGACACTTGATAATGTTGGATTAATCTGTCTACATGTCAAAAACATTAGGGGTCACTTTCCTGGAAGCTGTGGAGTAATGTGTGGTTCTTCTTGTTCTGGATTAACTTTTGCTGTGGAACCACCTGTATGTTGTGTGGACCACTTGCAGCGGGTTCAGTGTGAATACATCTTATTTGGCCCATGTAGACATGAGGAGAGTCTGGGAAACAAACTATCCTTTCATGTGCCATGGTTCATTACTGCACGTGGGGGTAATATTACATTGAAGTTGGATTTCTTCTTCAGTATCCTTCTGGGAAGACCAACATTTCAAAAAAAAAGAAATCTCATAAAAGTTCATTATGCACAAACCTCTAGGGGCCAATTTCTAGGCTGTATTTGTTCTTCTTCTTTATTATTCAACCATTTCTTTTAAGTTTATATCAAAAATATTTTGACCTAATTAGCTGCTGAAACTTTGCTTTTAAACCCCCATGTTTCTTTCTCTTCTTTTTCCCCCCTTTAATTTTATTTTTCCCTGAAAGGCAACTCTCTCTAAAGTTGTATGCAATACCAAAAAGAATCTAATTAGTAAGACATTTCTTGATATACTTATGCATTTGTTTCTTGCATAGAAATCATCATTCCGATTCTACTGAAATTCACAGTGAAGGCAACCTAATGAAAGATCAAGTTGCATTGGTTATGAATACATATGTAAAACATTGCCCCAAGTGTATAGTAGTGATTTCTAAAGAACATTTCTCACAACAAGATACCTACCATGTGAGCCACAATGCATTTCAGAGGATCTGAAAGCATGGTCAAAGCATATTGGATCATATGGAGCATGCCTACTTCTATTCCAGCTGAACTCATGACCTCTCAACTATTACACTATTTGAATGTGTGCCACACAAACATAAACCCCATATGGGTATCTATTGGGACATTTGGTCATTTTTAAATGCAGTTTATGGATAAATCTTTTGTTGAATGTTTAGTTCAACAGAATATTTCTTTCCATGTAGAGGCTATATATTTTGTTTCTTGACAGCAGGTTTCTATGTGTAGCAGGCAAGTGCGAACATCACACATCCACAAATGAAAACATTTTTCCATGCACCAGGAAAGCAGTCCTAGAAGAATAAATGAGGGATGCAAATATTAAAGAGAATATAGTTTTCACATATTTAATATCCATCTTCAAGTGTTTCATTTTTAAAAAGGAGTGTGATGATATGTTTCTTGCCAGAAAATGAAAAAAACTGTGAAACTGGCATTCAACTTTACTTGTCAAACCGATTTCAGTGACCAGCTTTGCATTGACATACTTCATTTTCCTTCCACGGGAAACTTCACACATCCATTAAAAAAATAGTAGAGGCGATGTGATTGGCTACAAACATATCCATGTAGGTAAATTTATTGTGTTCCCTTCTCCCGTTTCCCTGCAAAAATGGTGGGGAATCATCCTCATCATTGCAGGAGTCTTTCTTCTTCCTGGATCATGTCATTCAGTGCACAACAGAGCTTTGGAATTTTGCCCTCTCTGGTTACATCCTGAATAGACTACTGCAATGCACTCTACATGGGGTTGCCTCTGAAGACTGCTTGGAAGCTTCAGTTAGTCCAGTGCTTGGCAGCCAGGTTACTCATGGGAGCAGGGTTGTAATAAAAGATGAAGATATAACGAATAACAAACAGGGTGATGAGGAGAATAGGATAATGGTGGTATGTGTGGCTGAGGCTAGAGAGAGATATGTATGAGACCTGAGATTAGAGATGTTTGACTTTTAAAAGACTTTGTCTGAGACACTTTAAAATGTGTAACCAAACACCATATATGAATCCTGTTCCAAAATATCTTCAGCCATCTTCCTTGAAGTAAATCTTCACCTCAGTACCTGGACACAAGTCTTTGTTATAAGAAATTGAACAAATAAATATTTATTTAAGGATTCTCTGTCTCAAAAAACTTTATGACTACACAGTAGTTTCTTCTCAGTATCCTTTAGATCTAGTTACAGTTAATTTTTATATCATGAACCTTTGAAACAGTTTCTATATAACTTCCAGGTTGGCTTATCTTCCTTCCAAGCTGACTTGTTGTACTTTAAATTGTTATTCCTTCCTCAATCTTCTGACTGGGTAAATATGTTCTTATAGTTTCTTCACCTAAGTGATAGGTTAAGTGTAAATTTGTCTCCAAAACTACACTTTTACCCTCAGTTCCACTAACACTTAGGCACAGTTTTGCCCTTTATTTACTTCAGCTCTCCCACTGAAGACACAAAATATTACTGGGAATTCCTTTCCCTTAGCTCACAAGCTAGTTACTAATACAACACTGGTTCATTTAACCCTCTGAATCCAAGGCTGAAGACTTAAACTGCTTGGTCTAGCTGCAACATAGCTAAAATCAACCTTCCACTGGCTCTGCTCCTCTTGACAGTTAGCTCCACCCCCTTTGGCTCCTGATCTCTGCTAAACTGGATAAATTTCTATAGCAAACTTGGTTACTATGACAACGTATCAACAGCAGACCTGTGCTTATAATATACTAACCTTAATAAGCATATTCAAAACCTATATTATAATTCGATATTTCATTACAGGGGTACAGGGAGCGTATAACTCTCTTGCTATGCCAGCTCCTCTGGCTGCCTATTAGCTTCCAGGCTAGGACCTTAAGATCATCCAGGAAGGCCCTTCCCTCAATCCCACCGCCATCGCAGTCACATTAGGTGGGGACAAGAGACAGGGCCTTCTCTGTGGTGGTCCCTCGGTTGCGGAACTCCCTCCCTAATGAGTTTAGATCTGCCTCCTCCCTCCTAACCATCCAGAAGAAACTTAAATCCTGGTTATGAAATCAAGCGTTCACAGAATAGTTTTACAGGAGAAGACAAGATTTTATTGGACCGTACTTGGACTGATTTGGACGACAATTTTAATCTGGTGAATTTTATCTGATGAACTGGTTCTAATGCGTATTTATAACTATTTTAATGTATATAGACGTATTTATTAGTGTGTTTTATATTATGTTTGGCATTGAATTGTTGCCTGTTGGAAGCCGTTCTGAGTCCTTCCTCGAAGGTCGAGAAGGATGGGGTATAAATGTTTAAAATAAATTAATAAATTAATAAACCACATTAGCCTGGATGTCTTGTTTGGGCTCCCCATGCTCATGCAACAGCTACACTGCATTATGTGGCATTGTAGTTGGGTTCTTAGTCCTTGCACACTATTCTTTCTTCATGGAATAACCTCATTTGAGCTGAGGTGCATGATAGAAGATTTTCCCAAGGCCTCAGTTGCATGAGGAAAGAGGGGCCTGTGGCTATCTTAATTCAGATTAGATCTCCCTCATCAGTGAGGGGGATCTAATCTTGCTTATTTGCCCAACCAGATACAGTCTTTTGAGTTTCTAACTAGAACCAAGGAAGTGCAGGTTCAAATCCTCAGACATGAAGCTCACTGGATGATTATGCTGGCATAAATGCGGGGAGATTGGTACTTTTTCACACATGTGGTGTGTCCCTTTCAAGCTGTGCCTACATTTACTGGATAAATCTGTTGTAAAGGGCTTCAGAACTCTTCCCATGCAACCTGGGAATATTCCTAGAACCCTTTGGCTGTCCAAAAGGCCAGCCTAATGGTAGATTGGAGTAACCCCTATTACGTCGCTGCCAGCAAGCAGCTGTCCTGCAGAAATACAGTATCACTGGCAAGCTCCTGTGAGATTGCTGTTTACTGATGGCAATACAGCAGCAGTTCCACCAGCATTGTGGACAATTGATGGAGCTGGATCCATTTGGATCCAGCTGTCCACACCTCTGTTGTTCTACAAGTCCAGCCATACATTGTACCTAATCTCCTCTATAATTAATTTTTTTAAAATAGTAATTTACGGTGTTATCATTCGTGATTATAAAAAGGTGAAAATGTGCTTTGTAAAATTATAACTTTGTAAAAGTTAAAAATTTCGTGAAGGATTAGAAAAGGATAGTGCCCTATTTTTCCAAGATTAATTTAACATATTTATAACCATAAGGATGCCTCCAAAACATGTCTCTAGATATTTTCTTCCATTATTTTATGTCAAAAAACAGCTTTAGTAGTTGTTATTTTTTTGCTGCCTGGTGATATTTTCTCTTCCCCTCAGAGATGTGAAACTTACACTTCAAAAATTATTTTGTGTGGGTGAGACACAGTACCTGTGTTGCTGATACCATGTTTGAAACTCTGGCAGGTTTAAAGTTCACTAGAGTATAGTTGCCTGCTTTACTAGCAGACTGATACCTTTATCATGTTCCAAGGCACTTGTGGTCTTCTGTGACATAAGGCCTTACTCTTTATATAGCCTTCTTGGAATTGCATGAAAATATCAGTGAAACACATATTATTTGAAGAGAATATTAACATTATAAAATAAATTGACTGGAGGTGTGATAGAGCCACTAATTAAAATAAAGAACCTTTGTTTAATCAGTCTAATGCTATAAACATTAATTAAATATTCAGAAAGATACGACTACAAGGTTTTCAGGTCCCACTTTGATTATCTTTCCAACCTCTGGCGATTGCGGCATGTATAGCAGCTATCATAAATTTGAATATATCTGACCATTTGTTGTTCCCCTCCTTTACCTCTATGTTGAGGGACAAAAATTGAGCTTTATTCCAATGTAGTTTTTGCTCTATTATTTCCTCTATTACTTCTCTAACAGTATTACAGTATTTTTGAATTTCGGAGCAGTCCCACCACATGTGTGAAAAAGTACCAATCTCCCCGCATTTATGCCAGCATTTGTTAGAAATGTTTTTCATAATGTTTTTCATAATGTGAGCCAATTGAGAAGGCGTCCAATACCATTTTGAAATTATTTTCTTTTGTGTTTCTTTTATTCTTAGATGTTTAATTTTTAATAAGTTTTCATTGAAGTTTATATTCTGTTTCCAGGCCCCTACTAAAGTATGTTTTGTATTATAGGATATTTAATTAATGATTTCATCCATGAAAAGAAAAATAAATATTTGAATATTCAGTCAAGACAAGATTGGTTTAGGAAATGGTCTTGTTTAATCGACAAAACGGAAGGAAAAGATAGGTACAGAACTTTAAATCAGACCTTCCAGACAATTAAATCAATATATTGATTCAAGTAACCCAGATGGGGGTGAGAGGGAGGTGGGAAGAGGGTGGTAAGGGTGGGTGGGTGTGGTAATTAATTAAGATATACGGTAAAGGGAGTCACAATTGGAACCTGTATCTTAGCCATAAAGATTGTAAACAGTTTTTATGTTATCTTTTAGATGGCTAAGGTTTGTATTGTATTGTTTTGTTATCTGTATGAAGAAATTAATAAAAATTGTAAAAAATAATGCTATAAACAAGACTGTATGTCATTTATATTTTTTATGTATAGAAGAAAGCCGAGTAGGGTTATGGAGAGGGAACATGTCCTGCTTTGAGTTTTCTTTAATTAACTTTACAGACAAGCTGATGCCATATTGTCATCCATTTAAACAGATAAATAATAATTAATATAAGGCAGTGCTTTCAGTTTATCTTTGCTCTCAAATAATTATACTTTTTTGGGTGTGGTGGTGTTTGTTACATTTACAGATGAAGTCTTATCTGAAAATTTCCTTGACTACAAGAATCGTGGAGTGAATGGCTCTCATCGAGGTCAAATTATCTGGAAGATTGATGCCAGTTCTTACTTTGTAGAATGTAAGTATTTTATGATGCTGTTATTTATACACTGTAGTTTATTGAACATGGGAAGAATTGAGCTCCCCATATTCTTTTGGGAATTTCAGATATGCAAATAATAACAAAACTGATTGCATACTTGAGATGTGCTTAGTGAAAAACAGCAGGCAATGAAGCATGAATGCAGTGAGTGGAATTACACCCATAGTTCCTTTTATGTTGCTATAATTAAGCATAAACTCCTCACAGTATCACACAAGGAGAGAGTTACACAATGTGTGCTAAATGCCTCTGTTTTTGAGAAAGGGTGATTCTCATTCTCACTTGTTCTTATTTGACACCAACATAATTAAATCAGCTGGCGTTTTTAGTCTTCTCCCAGCGTTCACAAGGTGGGATCGATTTTAACTGATCTGTTTGGCACCCCATTCCTTGTGAGTCACTATAGATGGCAAGGTTTAAAAAAACATTTCTCAAAGTTTGAAGTATTTGTGTTGGAATAAATAGTCCTCCATTTTTCTTTGTTGATTCTGATACTCTTGACATTTAGATTGCAGGGTGTTTGGGGCAGTAATCTTTTCCCTTTTGTATTGATGTGTAAACTGCCATGTTTATTGATTGTATTATACAGGTGAATAAATTATACAAGGAGTTTAAAGAGGAAAATAAATGGATATAAACATTTATAAAAACATTTGCTTGGAGACATATATCATGATCTTAACATACATTGAGACATCTAATTTTAATTTGCACCATGAGGAAATGAAGGTCACTCTAAAGCAGAAGTGAGTGAGATGTAGCCTGAAGGCCTTATTCAGCCTCTATCTGATTTTTGTGTCCCCTGATATTCTATTCTACTGCATTATGGTGCCTGTGATACAACATGATGGTTGCAATTTGTCCTTAAGACAAAGTATGTGTATAGTATGAGCTTTGTTTTCCAGCTATAAGAGCTATTGGAAGCCTCTAGAGAAGGAATGAGATTGTGTGACGGTCCTGATGTGGCTGAACTGTAATTCCAAGCAGCCCTAGATAGCAATTCCAATGGCAAAGAAGACTGGGAGTTGGAATCACACAATTTCTGAAGAGCCAAAAATATCTACTCCTGCTCAAGGACATGTGGACTATTGTCCAGTGAGTCACGGGAAAATGTGGCTATAAATATATAGTTGTGATTAGAGCAACCCGGCTGGGGCTCATTTATATGGGGAATATAACCTATATTTACCATGAGTACAATTCTGGCTATCCTCGCGCTGTAGCAGCACTTCTATTAGGTATTGTGAAATAAGCTGAACATCAGATATAGCCACAAGTTAGGAAATATCAAAGCTGCTCCAGAGTTTCCCTGCAGAGCTTGATATGAGCTCCTGGCCATCACAGGTGCCCCATGCTGACGTTAGAAAGGTTCCCATGCTACCAGGAAGCAAGTGGAGCGATCGGCTCCCTCATTCTTTATGGTTATGTGAGCAGTTTTGCTGATGTCAGCACATGGCATTCATGATGGCTAGGAACTCACATGGAGCTCTGCGGCTATCTCAGAGCAGCGCTGGCAACTTGAATAGGTCACTGCCCAGATACTGTGTTTTCCGCCCAGCTCGATGATATTAACTCTGACCTGCTATCAAACTGGCTCCAGATTTTTTTTTCATGTCAGGAGCGACTTGAGAAATTGCAAGTCGCTTCTGGTGTGAGAGAATTGGCCGTCTGCAAGGACATTGCCAAGGGGACACCTGGATGTTTGATGTTTTACCATGGGAGGCTTCTCTAATATCTCCACATTGTGATCTGGAGCTAACAGAGGGAGCTCAACCCCTCTCCTCGGATTTGAACCACTGACCTGTCAGTCGTCAGTCCTGCCGGCACAAGGGTTTAACCTATTGTACTACCAGGGGCTGGTGTAGGCATGGTCTGGTATATATAAAAATGAGGGAAAGGTCCCAGAAAATGCTCTTTGCCCCATTGGTGATATCTTCTAATTTCTCTTGGCTGAAGGAGGTTTGAGGCTTATGGTTTAAGTTTATTTCTGGGATCCTTTGGTATTAATGAAAAAAGGCCCATGGCTTTGATACATATTTTGTGTCATAATTGGGATGGTTGGGAGACTTGAATTGCTCTTGCCTATGGGCTCATCCTGCACAAGATTTAGCACCACCAACTTGTTATTAAAAAGAGTCAGTTGCCATTGTAAAAAAAACAGTCACATCTTTAAAGTCCGGAATTAATTAATTAATCAATCATACTGATTTTCTGCATTAATTCAGCGGAGCGTTCATCTGGTAAACAAACCTAGAGCAACAACTGTGTAATTATTGTCTTTAGTAACCGACATTTTAACTTTGTGTACACAGACATATGTCTCAATTACTGCCTTGTTTTGTACCTCTAACACAGCTAATTCAGGTACAGTTATCATGTATTTAAAAATAAACAAAGTGAAAAAAACCTTGGCATTATACTATATGTCCTTTGACCAGAAGCTGGCCATTGGATTTGCACTCCAGTGTTTCTAGTGTCGCTGTAAAAAGGGCCTCCATTGTGCATGTGGCAGGGCTCCGACCGCATTGCAGTAAGTGTTCTGTGGTTTGCTCTTTTCCACACACGCATGTTGTGGACTCCACTTTATAGCCCCAGTTTTGAATATTGTCTCTTCATCTCGTGGTGCCAGAGCACAGTCTGTTCAGTGCTTTCAAGTCACCCAGTCGTCTGTGTGCCCAGGGGGAGTCTCTCATCCGGTATCAGCCATTGATTGAGATTTCGGGTTTTAGCCTGCCACTTTTGAACTCTTGCTTGCTGAGGTGGTCCTGTGAGTATCTCTGTAGCTCTTAGAAAGCTATTTCTTGATTCAAGGTATTGGCATGCTGGCTGATATCTGAACAGAGGATAGACTGGAGATGTCACTGCCTTTGTCCTTTCATTACTGGCTGCTACTTCCCAACGGATGTCAGGTGGTGCAATATCGGCTGAACAGTATAGTTTCTCCAGTGGTGTAGGGCATAGACATCCTGTGATAATGCAGCATGTCTCATTAAGAGCCACATCCACTGTCTTAATGCGGTGTACCTTCAATTTGCTTCAGACATGATAAGTAAATAAGCTAATTCAGGTGGGTTTCTCTGAGTTTGCCTTTCCTGCTAATCTCATGATGTCGCTGCAATAAGTACAGGAGCTCTGTGCAAATATCCTCCCTCTATGGAGACTTAAGGATATTAGCTCTTTCTTGTCTTGGGCTGTCAGTTTCTTTGTTGTAATTTACTTCTGAAGAGGCAAATTTTTTCCTGCTCATTGAGCAAGGGACTGTAGGATGCCCCTGACTACTCCCATAAGGCTTGGATTTGAAGCTGCTCGTCTTAGGCAATTCCCGCTGGAGTCTGTCTGTAGTGCTCACCCGCACTAGTCTCAAATTAAAAACCATCTACTTTAGTGGACATGTAGATATACTGCAGGCAGGTGCAGTTTGATCCATGAAAAAGCTTTTTTTAAAAAAAAACTCATTGTAAATAGGTAGGTAAATCAAGGTAAAACTTTTTGGACCAGAAAAATTCACTCTGGGTTTAGCTGCATTATTAATAAGTCATTAAAACTAAAGGTTTTAGTTGAAAAACATACACTCTTCAGCTCATCAGTGCAAGGGGATGGGGAAGAAAGCTTTTCAGGTTGGCTGATATTATGGTACCCTTGTGGAATAAACACTTTCAATGTTTTGTTGTAGTTGTGGTCAGGCTTGTAGCGAGGGGGGGGGGGTTAGGGGTTCAACCCCCCCCCCCGAAATGTTTCAGATTTTTTTAAAAAAACCTGGTTAACTCATGAATTTTAACTGGTTAACCAAATCCCCATACTAAGTCTATGAGATGCAAAAAATTAAGAGTCTCTCCAGAACTGCAAGCACTATCTCAAGTAAATATTGACAATTTATTCACACTGTCATTACTTGCAGCAATAGCCGATGTAGTGAAGCAACCAAGTTGGGGTGTGTGTGTGTGTGTGTGTGTGTGTTAAATGTTCTCATTAAGGAGGCCAGACTTGGTGGAGGTGGTTGACAGGGGCGGAGCTGCAGGCTATTGAAGGCTGCTCTGCCCCCTGCTGTGCTCTTTGCTTCAGCGTGAGCTAGGAGGCAGGTTTCAACATGAAAATTTCAACCCACCCCCCGCCCGAAAATTTCAACCACTCCCGAATTTTTTTTCTGGCTACGGCCCTGGTTATGGTCCATGCATTGTCTATCCAATTGCAGTCACAGTCTTGACCAGTTCCTCAGGATAGCTAGCACTACCGTGTATACGTGGTATGACATATTCTACCTTCCATTCTGATGCTTGTTTTGAAACTACAAATATCTACCGTATTTTCTGGCATATAAGACTACTTTTTAACCCAAGAAAATCTTCTCAAAAGTCAGGGGTCATCTTATACGTCGGGAGTTGTCTTATACGCTGGGAGTCGTCTTATAGAGTGGGTGCTGAAACTTTCAATCTGGACTGGAGAATCTGTGGTTGCCACATATGGTTGGGGGGAACTCAAAAATGGCAGTGGCCGCGTCCCTGCCATATGCAGCGACTGTATGAAAGCATTAAGGGTGACACTGTACAAGTACGGTAGAAGAAAATCCATTCATCAGGATTCGTGGACTTAATGTGGTCCCGATGGTGAGGTGAAGGGGCGCCTCACTGGGAAGATGTAAGTGAAGGGCGGAGCAAGCTGCTGGCTTTCGGGGTGTCCGGGGTATGGAAAAAAGAGATAGAGTGGCTCTGGGCCCAGAAAAACACACCTCTTTTGCCTGTCTGGCCCGCCCTTGTATCCTATTACCTTACCTCCTCCTCTGCCTCTCAGATTTCGCTCCTGAAGACTGCAGTGAAGCGGTGCAGGCGCACATGTGCGAGATCTGAGAGGCAGAGAAGGAAGTACAGTAATAGGAAAATTACCATATTGAAATCAAATCTGATGCTTTTTAAATTTTTATTTGGTGTGCATTGGAAGAAGGGTAGTCTTATACGGTGAGTATATCCCAAACTCTATAT